GGGGGGGGGGGGGGGGGGGTAGAGAGTTTGTACGAGGACGGTTCGGTTGTTTTCCAGTGATTCCACTCAAATCTGAAACATCCCCATTGTCGCCTGTATACACACTTGAAGGCGTTTCCATATTCCGTGTATGCACAGCGTGACGTTCCTCCAATCCACCAGATTCTGATGGGCTTCAACTTCAAGCATGAGTGGGTTTCCGTTGGGCCTAACGACAACATACAAACTTAAAAAAAGAGGATTTGGAAATGCTATTTTTAGATGAATAAAAAGGAATAATGAAAGACTTTGACAAGTGAGGGACTCTGAACACTTGTTTCCACGCTTAGGGTAATAGGCTAATAGCATACTTCACGTAATCTCTTATCAACAAATCACCAAAACTTGGATCGTCGTAGAAGTTTTGTACAAGTATGGAAGATGAGAGGTGACAATGGTTGCTCCAACTTTGGATGAGAGAGAAAAAGTGTTTTTCATGTCTTGAGATATATCATTGAAAATTTTATCAAATCCAAAAAATATATATTTTGAAATATTTATTATTATATCTATTTATTTATTTAATGTAAGACTATTATATATTTTGAAATATTTATTATTATATCTATTTATTTATTTAATGTAAGACTCTCATCTATTTATACGTTATTTTGAGATTGAATAAAAAAATATTATTTCGCATATTTCTACATGGTATCTGAACTTCTGGTTTTTTCTAGTTTATTGGTTTTTTTTATAAAAAATGGTGGATGACAATAAGAGTGAAGATGAAGATGACGATGATATATCGATCCAGTGATAATATCATTTCGAATTTTTTTTAAGAATAAGAGAGTCATTTTTTTTTAAAATTTTCTCTCATAATCCCACATGTTTCAAAATCATCTTACTCTTGCAAAAATTTGTTGTCACTAAACGCTTTCGCATAGTTGTCTTTCAATCTCGGATGAATCAAAGTTATTCTCGAAACTTTTTTCACACCGCGATTGTCGTCTTTTTTTTGTTATCATCAAACGATTCTTTTTGCGTGTTGTCGAATTTGCAGCGCAGACGTTCGATTTTTTTTCAATTATATCTTCTATTGACATAAATTCCAATGTGATGTGGTTCAAGCGACATGCGTTTGATCATCTTTTCTGTAAGTTTGGCATTTCATGATCTTCGCGCTCCAGCTTGAAGGGGATTTTGAGATATATCGGATCTTGAAGAATATTATGAGATATATTATATAATGGAGATCTTATTAAATCCGGAAAATATATATTCTGGAATATTTATTAGGGAGAATCGCCGTAAAATACCTTTACTTTTCTCTGGTCTCAATTTAATACCTGTGCTTTTTTAATTACTGAATAATACCTGTACAATTGGTTTTTCTCTAAATAAATCCTATACTTTTAAATTATTGACCAAAAAATACCTACCGTCAAATAACCGCCACGTAGACAAACGGAAATCCTACGTGGCGGCGAAATTCTTAACCTCTCTCCTAATCATCGCGTCATGTCATCGCCACATCAGAAATTAAATAATAAATAAATAAAAAAATAAATTACTTAATCAGGTGTCCAATAAGAGGCAACAAGTACTACGGAGAAGAGTTCAGGGTGGAGAGTTACTGGACACAGTGCATGGCAGAGGGCAAAGAACGTCCCTTGAGAGCTTGGATCTTCGGAGGTCGTCGGTGGAGGAAGTCAGTACATGATGCAAAACGGCGAGTACTGGATGGTTGTATTGTCATACAGTATGGATTAGTGTTAGCAAGCAAAGTTATCATACATACATACATATATATTTGCATATATATACATATACATTATACATACACATATATATACATATATACATATGCATACACACACATATATAAATAATATATATACATATACATGCTATATATATACATACATATAAATATATAAATATATGTATATACATATTTATATATATGTATATGTTGTATATATATGTATATATATGTTTGTGTATGTGTTGTATATGCATGTATATCTATATATATATGTATGTATGCATGCATATGTATATATGTATATATATGTATGTATAATGTATATGTATATATATATGTGAATGTATATGTATGTATGTATATATATATATATGTACGTTTATATATATGTATTAATATATATATATATATGTGTGTATTTATATGTATGTAATATGTATATAAACATGTGTATATATATATGTGTATGTGTATATATATATTTTTATTATTTATATATATGTATATTTATGTGTATGTATATATATATATATATTTATCTATGGTATATATATATATATGTGTGTGTTTATATGTATGTATATATGTGTATGTATATATTTATATACGTATATATATATGCATATATATATGTGTATGTGTATATATATATATTTATTATTTATTTTATGATTTTAATTTATTTAATTAATTATTATTATTAATTAATTTATTAATTATTTATTTTTTATTTATTTTTTATTTATTTTCTGACGTGACGATGACATGGCGCGATGATTAGGAGAGAGGTTGAGAATTTCACCGCCACGTAAGATTTCCGTTTGTCTACGTGGCGGTTATTTGACGGTAGGTATTTTTTGGCCAATAATTTAAAAGTATAGAATTTATTTGGAGAAAAACCAATTGTACAGATATTATTCAGTAATTAAAAAAGTACAGGTATTAAATTGAGATTAGGGAAAAGTACAGATATTTTACGGCGATTATCCCTATTTATTATTATATCTATTTGCTTATTTAATATAAGATTCTCATCTATTTATACGTTATTTTGAATTTGAATAAAAAAAACATCATTCCGCATATTTCTACATTTTTTGTTAGAATATAAGTTCCAATAGCGAAGATTGTGATCCACTTCAAGTCAATCATATAGATTCAACAAAACTCTATAATTCATATCACATGAACAATACAATAATGCATGAAAGAGAATCATTTAGAAAATAGAGAGGAAAGATAGAATTGGAGCATTTGGATGTCTTAACCACCAATCATGAGCATTTGAAATCTTCTATATCCCTATATATCTACATTATAGAACAATTTTCAATATCTTATCATATATAAACTCTAAAATACTACTACCAAACCAACCTAGAAGACCATGTCAAACGCCTAGGGATTAAAAAAGCAATCTAAATAATTGTCCTACAAAAAATGACTTTTTAATATAGCGCTCGTCAAAAGTGGCAAACTACCTGGTTTTGCAAGTATCAACAAGAATGTTTTTCACATCACTATGGTTTTCAATATATTCTCCAGCCATAAGCAATTCAGAAACAGCCTGAATAGAAGCATTGATGGATCATAACCAAGCTTTTCAATATAGATTTAAAAATAGTAAATTGTACGATTAAAAAAAGGACAAAGCACTATGAACGAAAAAGGCTTGATAGAACAAGTGTTTGAAAGCTCTTCATGGATTAAACGACAGAACAAGTGTTTGAACGCTCTTTATGGAGCAAATGCGAAAATTGTGCATGATGTCCAGGGACCAATAGTATAACTCCATAACATGACCAGAGAGAGAAAGATAAAGAGACGCATAGAACGAGTAATAAGTTGTTTTGTAAATAATTGGAAACCATTTCATCATAAGAGAAAATATATGTAACTGTTTGGGGGGTTAGAACTGATCATTGACCAAATGTTCAAATTTTGTCAAAGTTAAATTCGCAAATTTTTCCAATTGTCCCAAAAGACTAAATCAATACATAAAACCAACTAAGTTTAAACAACATTCAAATTTTGTCAAAGTTAACGTCTTCGCAACATATCTGTCGTATTCTCCTGAGTATTGATCTTACAAACGTCAATGTCACCATACTTAACATCTTGGATGAAATGGTATTTGTTATTTTTACGGACATTTCAAATCTGTTACTCCTTTTACAAACTCAAGTTTTCAGAAATCAAATCACTTGAGATATACTTTGAACAACACACAAATAGGATGACACAAAGTTTTTTTCGTAAATAAAACCTCGCATACATATGTTGATTACAACATAAAGTCATTAAATACAAAATAAGTAAAAAAATAGTTACAAACTTAAAACTTAAAAAACCGACGTAAACTCCTTAAAAACATAACTATCCATTAACAACAACAACCACTGCTTCTTCATTTTTCACATCAGTAATTAATTTTCTGAAAAACAAAAAAAAACACAAACTTTTGAAACAAAATATTAACAGTATCTCATGTCAATATGTTTCGTCTTGTGATCCTTGGTAAGAAAAATGAGGCTCGGACTTTCACTAAAGATTGTAGAGATTTTCGAATCCTCACATAACTCTCCAAACAGTCCCTTTAATCATAGCGCTTCTGTATAAGCCTCTGCAATCGCCATGTAATCCATCTCAAACGGTCATAAATCGTACTTCATAAATGTCATCAGTGAGATCTAACTAAACTTTGAAGAAATCATTAATTCATAACACCGCAATTTTCGATTTCAATAAACCAACTCTGATATCAGTTTGTTAGAGTTTCACGCCACGGGAATAAATGGGGATGGTATAAAGAAACGACAAAGAGAAGAACAATAAAAATAAATGATAAATGGATTTACGTGGAAAAACACGGGTAAAGAGAGAACATTCACAATAAAGAACGAAATGTATACCTTAGCATTACATCTTCTGCTGCATTTTGTAACAAATACGACCTCCATACATGAGATGTGAGATATATGAAATATTTACGAATACAAAACGGACAGTTGCCCCAAAACCTAGAAAAAATATATAACTATATTCAAAACCCAAAATGAATAATTACCATGTCCTAGACCTAAAATAAAATTGGGTCACATTCTTAACATTAGGGAACATATTGCAAGAGAAAATCTTACTGGACAATCAACCCCTCTTCTCGGCACTCTTGGAATCTTAGGAAGCTAATAGGGTTCAAGGAGCTAGTAAGACCACTGCTAAAAAAGAAACTAGGAAATGGCGAGGATACTTACTTTTGATTGGATTCTTGGACTGAGCTTGGTCCTCTAATCCAATTCATTGGAGAACAAGGACCTCGACAAATGCGTATCTCGCTCCATGCTAAAGTAAACGAAGCAACGGACATAAATGGATGGCATCTCCCTGCAGCTCGATCGGACACGATACTAAGACTTCAGCAGATCTTGACAACCATGGAGGCTCCATCACCGGAAAAGGGCCGCGACACCACGCTATGGAGACATGACGCAAGCACATTCAAGACAACATGCATTCAGCACTGCAAGAACATGGAGCCAGCTGAGATCGACTTCGTCTGAGGTAATATGGGCAATAAATATCTGGTTTAAACTCACCATACCACGACATGCGTTTGTCCAGTGGCAGACGCATTTGGGTAGACTACCAACAAAAGACAGATTGCATCGGTGGGGAGTCCAGACGAATGTAACCTGTTGCCTTTGTTCCCGGGAGGAGGAGTCGCATGAACACCTTTTCTTCGAGTACTCGTTCAGCTCAGAGATTTGGAAGCACTTCGCTGACAGGATCAGCCCTGATCCACCATCACGGCTCGCGCAAACACCCGGATGGCTTGAAGCGGCTGGTCGAAGCAGAGACAGATAGAGGGGAATACTTGTTCGGACCACTATGCAGGCACTAATATACCTCATCTGGCGAGAGAGGAATAATCAAATCTTCTGCTCTAAGCCAACCGACGCTGCTGTTATAAAACATCAACTCGACCGACTTGTGCGGAATATCATTTTATCAAACCAGAAAAGATTACAACCAGGAGAAAATTTGCTCTTGCAGGATAGGTTCCATCTAACAAGACCACCATGAAAATTTTGTTGTATTGATATTTTGCTATTTTGCTATTTTGTAAAGCTCCCAGACATGGAAGTTCTACTTTTGATATACGGTTCTTCAACCATGTATGTGTGACTGATCCTTTTTATTAATTTATTCACATTTCATAAAAAAAAAAACATGATATTTATCCACAAAGTGATAAAACATCCAAATTAAAGCTATTATACTAAAAATAATAATATCTGCGTAACAAAAATATTACCATGAATGACGTGTTTAATCACTTTGGTTTTTTGCATCGTTGAAAAAAAAGATATATAAAAAACATGAAAACTAGTTTTGAAGTAGGCAACAAAAGACGTTTATCAATGCATGCTGTGAAAAGCCTCATGCTTTACTGCCTCACTGTTTGACAACACGCAGAAGGGAAGAAGAAGAAGAAAAAGAAACCGCAGCTTGACTTGAAATTTGAATGCTCAGAGCACAAATGAAGACATTGTTGTCATCAGTACTTTTGGTGCCCATCAACTCGAGGCCCAGTTGTTGTTGATGAAGAGCCATCCATTTTAGGAACAAAGAAAAAGCCGCTGTGGGCATTAGGATGGAAATGCCCATACTCATCAGCCCTCTTTACCAGCAAGCTCCCACTCACGCTGACAGCTCGTTCTCCCTCCAACTCTCTGTAGCGGTGAAGGTACAAGGTGAGGGGCTCGATGTAGTCGTCGAAACCCAGCTTGCTCATGGCCCACAGCACGTCCTCTGCAGTTATGGTCTTCCGCTGCTCTCTCTGGCATCTCTCATTCGCCTCCCCTGTTACGAAGCTTATGTACTCCGACACACACTCCTGTATCGTTTCCTTTGCTTCATCCGATATTTTCGCCTGCACTGGTAACATCCTCCTCATTATCCTTATCACGTTCGCTATCGGCATGTACCTATCTTGCTCTCTCACCCTGCACTCTTCTCCCGTCTCCTGGACCATGAATTTTGCTGCTAAACCCACAATACAGTTACGGTTTTCAGTTAATCGTCATCTTTTGCTGATAAAAATTGGAAACAAGGGTCGCATGCAAATGCAGAGGTAAAACGGTCTAGTATCACCCCCACTAAATGGGACTCCTCTAATGGTCGCATGCAAAAGCATGGAACGAGAGAGGAAGAGGTGCGATGAGAAGGAGCAGAAACAGAAGAAAATAAAAGCAATTCGGCTGGTTGTCCCACGCATATATACACTACCACAAGTGGTGGTGGTGTTAGAGTGCTTGCGAAAGCCATGATAACCCCCACGTTCCATCTCTGTGTCTGCCTCCTGTCCTCGTCCCCGACACTTGATTTTTCCCGTGAAAGGAATAGAATTCAGGATTTTTGGTTGTGATGAAGAGATGCTTGGAAGTTATAAGCTTAAGCAAAAGAAGAGAGAGGGGGTAGTGGGCAAGTGTCACACTATATAGTTGCCTTAAAAACTCCATAACGTGGCAGCCATAGTCGATGTGACCGAGGAGATCCACTTAACTCCCTCCTGTTTTGTCCCTTTTTACCATCACATTTCATTTGTTGTTATTCCTCTGCATTTAGTTCCAGCGCTCTTACCACAACAACAACAAGAAGCCATCTTTCTACCATATAAACATATCCCCAGTAACTTAAGTCTCAAAACAGGTAGTAAATTTCATCACTTTCCCTAAGATATGATATAGCATTCTCTATCTAAACCAAATCTCCAGCCGTCTTGTTGTAAAGGCTATCCAGTTCCTGAAAGTAACAACAGGTCTTGCTGTGTTCCGCCCGCTTCCTCCCACCTTCCTCCATCACTTTCCTGTAATACTTGTTCATATTCTCCCACTTCTCCTTGCACTTCTTCGCCGACCGTTTGTACCCCTTTTCCCGCATTCTCTCTGATATCTCATCCCATATCGACCCCTTCCCTACCTTCTCTTCTACCTCGCTTCTGATCGTTATCAACGCCTGCATCTCTGCTCGCGGCCACCTTCTGCTGCTGTTCAAATCACACAACTTGGGTGTTTGTTCTGGCAGATTCTGGGGTTGCGGTCGAGGGATCTCCGTCTCCTGTCCTATCACCGTTTGTATCAGGGAAATGATAGCTGAGCCGCGCGCCATCTCTTGTGCAATCACCTCCTCGCCTCGTTTCATCCTCTCCATTTCTTGCTGCTTCCAAGCTTCTTCCCTGAGTATTCTTTCCCGCTCCTTCGTCTCAATCACCTCCATCAACTGCTCATTCATCTTCTCCTGTCTTTTCAACATATTCCCCACCAGCTTTTCCAAGAAATGCTGGAGCTTTTCCCGTGTTTTCCGCTTTCTCTTACCGATGGTGGCTGCCGCCTGGATGCCACCTGACCCACCATCGCTATCAACAGAGGAACTGCAAGCCAAGAAATGTTCATATCAAACTGTCAGCATTCCCAAACCAGGTTCAGAGAGGACAGAACACTGAACAAAGCAAAGTCTTCGCTTCATCACACTTGATCGAGTTCAACAAGATTCAAGATTTTTGGCAACTCATAAAAACTTTTTCCATCACAACATCGTTCAACAGATACATTCACCCTTGGTTTGAGTATGCAGTTCTCCCAAGAATCTGCCGGAACCGTGAAGATTGATACTGCGTATATGCGGTACGAGCTTAACCAATCCCACATGAAAAATAAACCAGAGAGAACTCTCAAAATTATCTAACAGAAGATTCTAATGACGCCATATCAGTCTTGTTAGCCTTCCACAAATGTCAATGCTTCAGGTTTCCAGCTAACAAAATCACATGATCACAAACTAGTCCAAACAAAACATCTGTGAATGAATCTAGCATCATATGATGGCACGAGCAACAGCAAATGAGATCTGAACAGGGGAAGCGAGTGGTCTGGTTGATATACAGCAGATCAAGAAGCAATGTCAAGTTGAAGAAACGCATAAGAACACAGAGAATAGTAAACCATATTCAAAGGAAAATTTCTCCGAGGTGAAAGACGTATGGGTGAAGAAACTCTCCTTTATCTTGAACAACAATTTATAGTTCACACGTTAACAATTCCGAGTCATTAGTTAATCGATAAAATGAAACCATAAGCAAAGCTTTTCAACTTTTACTGTGAATACCTCAGAGACGCACCATCACAAGCGGTACCAGTTCCAAATCTAGTGCCCGAACCGACCCCACCCGGATGATCCTTGGCGAACCCACGTGCCAAGTCACCTCTTTTTTCGACGTCGACGATCTTAGCCCCCAAGGGTGCGTCGAAGCAGCCAAGCTCCGGCAACTGGTCTAGGGTTCCAGCGAGAACATCAAGAGGATGCTGGTCCTCCGAGGGCAGCCTGTCTCCGTACCTAATGGGTCTCAGCTTCCGCGGCGGCGGGGCCAAGTCGGCGAGCGTGATCAGACCGCCGTTGGAACCTTCGGGTCGGGCACGGATCCATCCACAGCCAATTTCGGAGCCAACCAATGGGTCGACATCATCGGTGACAAGGTTCCGACGGTCGCCGGCAAGAAGTTCCATAGCGGCGTGGAACAGTCGTCGGAGAGACGGGTGAAGTAAAACGAGTTAAAGAAAAGGGTAAAACTAGGTGTGGTGAACATTGACGGTTATGACCCTGATCGGACAAGGATAACTTCGATTTTGTCCTTGGCGCTGACGTGTTGGTCCAGGGAGTGAAGTAGAGATCCAAAACTCGATTTTCTAATGCATAGCTGAGACTGAGATCTCGCATTTTGGCCCTCTTTCTATTCTTCATGTTAATTCAGTCTGGTTGGACTCCGTATATCTTTCACGTATAGGAATATTGCCTTGAATGCTGCGTAATAAATGATGAAGATGTGGGGGGGATAATGTGAACATCTCTACGTAGTCTCAATATTTGCCATGGAAGGATTGGTTTGACAAAAATCATATGCGGATGGAATGGGCGAGCATTCGATGACCAAACCCCACAGGAAATATTGTGTCCGGTTGGGCAGGTCCATTCAGACACCTAAACCATATAGAAAGGAGAAACGTCACATGAAAACGAATACAAATTAAATAATATTTGTAAGGCGTAAGGATATCAATCAAAGAGTAGGCGAACAACTCATGCTTCCGATTGCCGCCTCTTTCCAATTCTAATGTTGTTAGCCTTCTTTTGTTTACAAATGTGAGATATAAAAGTCACAAACGAGGTTCCTAGACAGAGCTCCAACCTCTACCCACGCAAAGGGTCTCTCTCCTTGCATCCATTCCCTTTTTGCCGCTGCCTGCATATACAATATACAAAGCACACGTGCATATATACAGAGACTTGTACCAATCTTGGAGAGCATTTTTAAACAGGCAGAGGAAATGGGGAGCTTATCCGTCTTTCTGCTGTTATGCATCTTCTCGGAGACTGCGGTTTCAGAGAGGATATGGAGCAGAGAGGAGATGGCAGCATTGGCTGGCTATGGCGAAGAGAAGCTATCATCGGTGGTTGTCACGGGCTCTCTTCTCTCCTCTGGCTCTCTGCCTGTTCCAGGTTTATCACTTTGCTTTTCCCCACGTCTCCTTCGGAAGGTTTTGAGACATTTTCTGATTCTAATCGTTTTAAAAAAAGCTGCAAAAACTTTGACTTCATGAAGCCAACGGTTACTTGTATGTAAAGCAAACGACCATCCTCCCTTTTTTTTTTAAATTAAAATTCCTTATCACTTTGGGTAGAAAGGAAAAGATGAGTCTCAAGAAAACCTTGACGTTTCATCAGACCAAAATTTTTATACATGTGGATTTTTTTTTCCTAAAAAAAATGACACTAAGCAGGTGCCGTAGTTGGGGTGAAGTGCGAGGCGGAAGGCAAAAGAAGAACAGGATGGATAAAAGCTGTTACAGATGAGCATGGAGAATTCGAGATAGAGCTTCCGTCCAGCCTCCACGCCATTCCTGACCTGGCAAATGCATGTTTAGTCAAACCAGTTCATGTACCAGAACCTTACAAGTGCTTCCCATCTGCTAGAGGTCTAACCCTTGTTTCGTCTAGCCACGGCTTCCGCGTGTACACAGCAGGCAGCATCACAATCCGAGAAGAGCAAGAGGCATTTGTATGATATGGACAAAAATCCGAGTCTGTTTTCTCACGGTCCTGACAGGCCGTGTCTGTACTCACACGGATTTGTGTGTGAGACAGGAGAGAAAGGCCTCAAAGCTGCCCCCGGGGCTAATTCCGTTTACATGTAAAATCCCACCCAAGCTATGACAGTAAAATAAATAACCTCTGGCTACAATGTAGAATGAGATAAGAGAGAGGATCCCGCCAGCAGAACGTAACATCGTAGACTAGAGAAATATTGCTATGAGATCCGACCCTTCTTTTCCGTTACAGAAACGTGCGAATTTACAGTGAAAGGAGAAGCACTCTTACCAGACTATAGGACTACAACAAAGCTGTCACATTTACATGGAAACGAATGGGTTTTTAAGGGGAGGTCCAAGCAGAACATGTGGACATTGCTCTCCGCTTCCACAAGAGAAAGAGCGCTCCGTCGCTTCCAGCAAGTCTGTAATTAGGATCAAACCCTTTCAACAGTTGATTCACCTCCCACACAACCGACGTACTGAGCTCACACGGCATAAACCCAGCCATCATCATTCTCATTCTCCATTTCCCAAGCAGCTCATGTCTCTCCACTCTCTCTCCCTCCTCACACCCTATCATATTCACTATATCTCTCGCCACACAGTGTTGCTCCGCTCTTATTCTCTCTTCATCTTCCCTCCGTCTCCCTGCATCTATCGACTCGAACATCGCTGTGTAGTAATCTAGCGTCTCCATAAATCTCGACAGAAACGGCGAAGTGTTTGTATTCGACTCTTGTTCTATCAGTGTTACCAGTTTCGGGGAGAGGCTCCTCACCAGTTGTAATAGTCTGTCCCTGTGATTGTGAACGCTCACACTTTCATCCGGCATATGGTGCAACACGTACGGGAAATTCACAGCAATGGCAAACCCGGGTTTGACCCCGAGATGTTCACGTTGAACCTCGCAACCAGACATCATCCCGTCCTGAAACTCAAACGGCACACCACATGACTGCGCAAATCTTGACAGCTTCTCGCCCACCAAGCTGAGCCCACCACCCCGGGCGTAGTTGGACTGTGAATCGTCAAGACCAGTCAAACGCAGCAATGGTGGTCCACCTGGACGTTTCGCCAGTTGCTGGATGAGATAAACATACTGTGTCCCCTGTGCAATCTGGAAATCAACAATGTGGATCCTAGGTTCGTCAACCATAGCTTCCAAGATTGCGGCGTTGGAAGATATGTATGCAAATTTCCAGTACGGGCAGATTTCATAGAGAACGCCCATGTAAGACATCAGTTCTCTTCCTGTTGGTTCTTTGCATTTCAACGCTTTGTATATGTTGCTTCCGGAGCCTTCAAGCCTCGCCCTCAGCCCTTCAAGCATGTAAGCGCCTAATCGTTGGATCGGATCGCCTGAAACTGAAACCATCTGTTCCAAAACATCAATGCATCCGAATGCTGTAGCAGTATCCCCTTCAGAGACCGCCCGAGCACCCTCAATCAGCACTTCTTTCAAGTCCAACTGTGGGGTCAACGCCAAGAGTTCATTCCAGTTCCATGATTTTGTAGCTCCAGGGATGAAACCCGAGAATTCAACAGATTTTGAATCACAGCTCATGAGTGAGAACTCAAGTTCACGAATCTTGTTCTTGAACTCAGCTTCATCACAGGTGTAAGAAGATGACCCACTGAAAGGTGACCCATAAACATTGTCAGGGGACTGACGTGGATCTGAGAGACAGGAATGAGAAGCTTGTGGAGAGAACGGGCTGTGGTTAGACGAGACGCTGACCGAGGGAGAATCATAAGCAGGAAGACTACCAGAGGCAGTGGATGACTCAAGAGTGAAGAAGTGTTCTTCGGGCGGGTTGTTGGAAAGCGCATTCTTGTCTACAACTTGGAACTGAGGTGAACAATAGAGTTGAGGATACAACATATGGAGTCCAGACGCTGTCTGGTGCTTCTGAGACGTTTGCATCGGAAAACAAGACTGCCAAATTAGAATCCCAGGCGTTTGTTCGAGTTTTTTTTAACCTGCCGTGAGGAAAGAAGAATGGACAGAAGAGTCAGCGCTGGGTCAACACGACTACACTCTCAGATAAGGTTTTGTGTAATCCAACAACAGGCCATGGATTCCGGGGAACAAGCCTACTACATTCAAGACCAAAACCAGAAAACAGAAGCAAATCCATCCTACACATCTAAAGCATTAGTAGTCTATCTTCTCCACTCCACTGCGTGATCATCAACCTCGACGTCTGTACTTACCAAATCGGTAATATTCAAACGACGTCAACCCACTCGTTGTCCGCATCAGGAAGACTTTAAGCTTTTCTCGTCCCTAAAGGACTCGTCATCACTTCACATAACCAATACAAGCATATTGACTGTTATATACGGACAGTAGAGGGGGATCGAAACCCTAAATCGCCAAATTTAGCAATAATCTTATAATTTTGCAGGTTAAGGGACGGGTGAAAGCGATGATTCGCCACGAAAACATTAGCCCTAGGAGCATATCCAAGCAAAACCAAAAAACAAGAAGTTTCTAATTTTCGATCAATCAACAGGATACTTGGGAACATATCTTACGCGCAAGTCCTACAACCAAATCAGAACCTTCAAAAGATGACAAAGGCAAACAAAAGCCAGAATTTTTCTGACGAATCCGAACAGAAAAAAAAAATCCCAGAATCAAAATAATTGGGTCAGATGAACCGAACAAGAAGGAAGCTTTTTTCATTCGTGGGTCTGAAATAATTAATCAGACAGAATTGAAACGCACCTTATGGAGGATGACAAGGTGAGATTAAAATGCGTGAAGAAACTTTTCTTCGTAGGTTGTGTAAGTTAACCGCCCTCTCAGAACGAGGCTGCGACTCTGCTCGCTGAATATAATACTGAAGATCTGACGACTCTGATGAGCCCCTCTCCTTCCACTTATTTACGCAAATACCACTCCCAAGTCTGACCTCTGACTTTTGGACGGCACTGACCACTATTTGTCATGTTGTAAGTTATTAGCCAAAGATCTCTCCTTTTTTTCTTTCTTTTTGAAACCCCAAACAAAATAAAAACGAAAATTTGCTATCTTGAGAGTGACTAGAAAAGGGAAGGGATACTCTTATCCTTGCTTCCATTATATATTATGATTCGATAGCATAAAGACAGGGTACACACAATGCATATATATTCTCTCATAATGAATATGTATACGACAGTTGAGATGGGGTTGGGTGCGTACCGCGTAGGGGTGGCATTTCCGTGAATAAAGAGGAGATGTGGGGAGATAAGTGTCATAAAAGAAAAAGGGACAAAACCGAGTCCTGCCTAGAAACCACGGATTGGTATGTTCCTGGAAGACTCACAATCACACACGTGGTTTTCTCTTACCGAGCCCCCGCCAATCTTTATGAATTCCACTTTAATCCCCATAGTTTCAAATAATCATAGAAAACCCCCAGGTATTTCGTATAAGATGTCGGGGATCGGGATCGGGATCGGGATCTTCTACTGTCTCAACTCGTATTGGATCAGGCTTTAATTGGTAGGCGTTATGATTCGCTGATAACATCTTGCAATACAATAATCGAGGAGAGTCATCTTAATTTAAATCATTTTCGTTCGTATTATATTGTTATATATAAAAACGTGATATTGTGTCTGTGTGTGTATATTGCTTTTGAAAATGTTTAAGTTGGGGGAAAAGATGTGATCAGGACCAGAACAATTTACTCTTTTTTTTTAAACTTTCTTATCCTGATTACCTCAGCAAACTGTACCAAAAGTAAAGAAAAAAGAAAAAAGAAAAAGAAATGATCTGTAAAAGAAATAAGTTGAAAAATACTTTGGGAAGTTATGTACTCCCTCCGTCTCAAAATAATTATTGTTTTAGGTTATTTCACATTTTTTAAGAAAACAGATAAAAAGTCACGTATATCCTTATTTGATGATAAAATAATATTATCATTAATAATTTATTAGAATTTGACAAAGATAAAATTGGAAACTATTGTAAAAAAATGTCTTGGAAATGTAGAATGACAAATATTTTGAAACATGGAAGATAATCTAAAACTACAGATATTTTGAAACGGAGGGAGTAATTGTTTGGGGTTTCAAAGATGCGTCTTTTTTTTCTTTTGATTATATTGTTAGTGCCAACTAAAATCGATACGACAATAATGTTGTAGTTTGTGCGAGGAGGTCAATTTTTTACTAGTATAATCATCGCTGCATACGGTTGGAATATTCAGATTCTAGAAGGATATTTAGAGCACAGGTCCCAACCATGGTCTCGTTTTACTATTGCCTGTTATTTTTTTTAACAAAAAAAAAAGAAGAAGGTCCTACATGACAGAAGCAGTGCGTCACATTGATGTTTGGTAATTCATTTGGGAAATGTAATAAATTTTTTAAAAAAAAAATAACCAATGAAAAAGTGACAAAAATGAAGGGGTCTAACAGCACAATCTTGCGGTGTGTGGAACACATTTTCATATTTGTCTTAAGCTGCGTGGCAATAAAGACAAAAGAGGTGAGATCGCACAACTTGCCCAAAATAGAGTTTTAATTTTATTTTATATGATTTTTTAAAGTACGGCAAAAAATCAATAATAAAACATAGTTGATAATATTATGAACAAAGATTTGACATAGACTGAGCTATTTGAATTTCGAAAGCTTCCAAGTGTGATGAATTTGGACTGTCAAGTCCTTACGTGCTCCATGAAAAAGCCCTCTTCTGAACTCCCATCCTATATATATTAAAACAAGTAAATCTCTCTTATGAATCAAAACTGCATTTGAAACTTTTGTACCCCAACCTGGAGCAAACCCAATGCTCTGAGTGGGCCTTTTCATGGGCCTACGACCATTGGTGGGCCTGAATAATTATCAGTCTAGGTGTGAACTGTTCCATCCTACGGTAATTCGCGAGGGGATGGCAAAAAATACGAGGAAGCAAATTAATACAGCAGAAATTTATGCAAGCTTCATTTTATTACCCAAACAAAATGCAAGATAATATTTTCTCATTAATCTTATAGTATTTGTGGAAGAATAGAAATACTTTCGTATTTAGAAAACTATCAGTGCCACCAAATGAAGTCTATAATATTGTTGTAAAAAAACAAAAGAGGCAACTAAAGTTTAGAATGTTTCTTTGAAGAAGAGAATATAAGAATGTGTCTTAATTTGGTTTTTTGAATACCATCAACTGTTGATGTGATAGTAGTACATATAGATGGGATCTTGTCTAGATAATCCTTGATCATCAGGATGTGCAGTTGTCTTTAGATACAATCAAATACGATGAATGAGAGGTTTTGTCCAACCTCTAGACCTTTGCAATTCGTTAGAGGCGGAGGTTTGGGGTGTTTACAATGCTCTACGGTTGGGATGGGAGAAAGGTTGATGAAAGATGAAAATTCAGACAGATTCACAAACTACTATCTCATTGATAGAGAACTGATACAAATTCTCTTTTACGCTACGAAATCTGGTTCATAAATGTCAAGAAATGGTAAAGAAAGATTGGTCAGTGATTCTTAAAAAAATATATCGAGAAACAAACACAGTTGTTGATTGTTTGACAAAGTCTGCATTAGGAGCGGAATTGAGTGTGAAATGGTTGGATCATCCTCCATCTATTGTTATGGAAAATCTAACGGCAGATTCGATAAAAATTTTGGTCGAAAGAGAGTTTGATCATTGAGTTAAATCCCTCCGAAGAAAGAAAAAAAATGCAACATAATTACAAGACGGTCATCCTAAGTCAAAACAAATAAGCGTATGAACATCTCCATTCTTCTTTCTCTTTTTTCCAGACCTATTTCTTTTCCCTATACAAAAACGATATCCATTGGTATACATATCTATTTTGTTCATTTTCAAATTGAACATTTATTATTTGAGAGAGAAAAAGAAACCATCCGAGAGAGCCAGATGATTTGGGAGGATACAGATCGCATATCCGAGATTTTTTAAATATCTATATTCGATCCGTACAAATATTTAATTTTGTTATCTATATCTGATTCGTGATTTTTGGATATCTGTAAAAATTGCAAATATTTATTAATATTTGTATTCAACCTAAAACATAACAATAATAAAAAATAAAATTCTAAAATAAAATCAAACGTATATAAAATGTATAATCTATAAAATATAATCATTATTCAAAATTTGAAAACCATAATACAAATATTCTAAAGGGACGATTGGTTGCGTCACTATCTGTGACAGACGGAGTAATTGCGATTTTTAGTGGTTATGACCGATTGAAAAAACGATTGATTGAAACACAACCAACTGCAACTATATCAAAATGTAAAATTTCTAATTACAACTTCACACTTGCATAGCGATTGATTAAAAAGATCGAAGTATATTTTTTAAAAAATTTAATATTTTTTTAATAAAAAATATCTTTTTACGTGAAAGTAAATTAAATTGATGAAATTTTATATTTATATTTTATATTTAATTATTTTACAAATTTAGTAGATGATTTTTGTCAAATAATAACGAAAAATAATTACAACTATTTTAAATATATATATATATATATATTAAAATTACGATATTTTTTATAATTTATATCAAAACATAACCGCAATGGTATCAACCATTAACTACTAATTACAACCACCCACAATCATTATCAATAACAACTTATCAATCAATCAGTACTAATCATCCACAATCGCCAAAAAAATCACTGTAAATACATACACCAACAGCTACAACGGTACAATCAATAGAATCCTAAATCAAGTCAAATACAAACACAATTATAATCTACCACATTTAAATATATTCAATATTCAAAAGATTATACATCATAAAGATTAAAATTTCTAAATTTTCATATGTAAAAAATATATCTTGAATCTTCATAAAAAAATTATAAAGATTAATCATTCAAAATCTTCATACCAAAAAATCTGATTTCCAGAAATAGAGTCAACGAATATAAAAATGTAAAAATTTGTATTTAATTATTCACATGCTTATCAAATTTTTCTTAAAAGTATGCATCATATCGGATAATTCGATTTTAATAGTCATATTCAACAAATATTTTTAAACAAATATCGAATTTTCGATTCGAACAAATATCGAATAAAGGATTGTTTCGGGTTCTTGTGATATTATGCCCAGCCTGATCCTGTCGAGGAGGCCTATCTGTCACAAAAAAAAATGAAGTTTAAAAATTTGGCAATAGGAGGAACATTAATTCTCTGGTTACATAAAATAACTAATGGAAATAAAGAGAGCTAAGAAAAATCTTTTCCCTTGTTGGAAGTCTTGGTGATGTTTTGTAGAAAAGCCCACTAAGCCCAAAACCAAAAACCAAAGCGTGGTTCGGGGGATGAAATGCAAAGGCAGCACCTTCCCGTATTATTTTGTCTGGGTTTCTACAGCCAATAGGAGTGGGACAACATTCACTATGCTTACGTGAGAACTTTGTCCGTACATTCTCTGCTCTCCTACATTTATAACACGATAGACCGCCATTAAAAGCAAGCGAGAGAAGAAACAAGCAACGGAAAGAGCGAGCATGGGGCCACATGACTGCATCGACGCCTCTGCAATACCTCTCACTCGAGGTCTCTCTCCTTCTTCTCCCCTTCTCTTATGTATCATCCTGTAACAATGTTGTCTCTTATTTTCATCTCCTCCCTTTCCTGTCTTAAATTTCTCTAGTATCCCTAACATGTGTTTTTTTTACAAAAAAAAGAGGGGTTTTACGCGACGAATAACCAGTTCCAGAGAAGGGGTCCAAAGGGTTTCATGGAGGTAAAGGTTTTGGAGAACAATGAGCTTTACGTGCGAGTGGACATGCCCGGGGTTCCAGACGACGCCGTTCTGCACAGGATCGACAGCGTCAGGAAAAAGGTGGTCTTTTTCTCCGGAGAAACTCCGCCTGCCGCCGAGACTCAGCGTGAGTACTCCGGCTGCGCCGGTCTGGGCTGCGATTGCTGCGACATCACCGGCGTCAACGCCACTATGAAGGATGGTGTCCTTCGCATGCTTATCACCAGGGTTAAGGTCAAAGACGAAGATATGAGGTGCACCCTCACTTTGCCTACCTACACAGGTTCCATCCACACCCTGGTTCATTCCCTCGGACTTGAAAGTTTGCAGCTTTATAAAGAGGTGATTCACATGGATATAGGGAAATCGGGAAGATACCTGGAGGACCATCCATTTGTGGTGAAAGGACCGAAGAGGGCACATTTCGCAAAGGCAACGGAGGATGGAAGGCTGTGTGCAACGTTCGATGTGCCTGGTGCCTCAGCTGATGACGTTCGAGTCTTCCTCGAGGAAGATGAGGTTCGATTCTACGTTGAGACGGAGAAAGTGTGTGAACATGACGAGAGTGGCAGAGCCTACCTCGGAAGCATCGGGTACCATGGAATGTCTGGCGTCGTCTTCAACTGGGAAGCCAAACACGGCATCCTTCATCTCTTTCTTTCCCCTAATTGAAGAACAAGCCAAAGCGACTTTGGTCTTTGGTATCTCTGTCTGTGGATCTGATGAAGTTGATGCCCTTTCCGTGACTGTTTAAGGTTTTCAATGGCAAGGATTCTGTCGCTGTCTTCTTTAGACCCTCCCAACTCATTCTATCGTCAAAGTCACCAGAAATGCGTTTGAAACATGAAATATTTTATTCATCGAGGACTATAGAATCATTGCCATATATCACCTTCCAGTCTCAACTGAAAAGTTTTATTGATAGAATCTTCGATAATCTCAGCAACTTGGGAACATGTCGAACTTGTTACTTTTCATTTATATTTGCATTTTTGTTGTCTTCATCATGGATAGTTGAATGATTCGTTTAATTTTAGGTCGACATGTTAGTAATTTTAATATTAGTCCACTTTAACCAATAAATCAATTGCAGCATCCGTTTTGGCCATGATCTCTCCGTCCTTCCCTTCCGCCACGAGTTCAGACACAGCTGTTTCACACTCGCTCTTAAGCACACCACGATACATCCGATAGTAGACTCAGCGCGGCCGTCCAGATCCATCTCCTCCGTTGGGCCACTACAGTAACCACGTCATCGGGGTAGATGAAGAAGGTTACATCCCTTAGACAACCACGAAGATGGGTTGTAGCTTTGGTGGCAGTTTTTCCAAGGTGTGCCCGGGGTTCCACACGACGCCCTTCTGCACAGGATCGACAGCGTCAGGAAAATGGTGGTCCTTTCCGCCTTCCGCCGAGGCTCAGCGTGAGGAAAAAGCTGATCCACACACTGGCTCATTCCCTTGGACTTGAAAGTTTACAGCTCTATAAAGAGGTTTTCAGTGGGATGATACTCTATCTTCCTTCTTTGAATCCAATTTCATGAAAGACACCAGAAGAAAAGCGTTCGAATCCGATAGTCTTGAATTCCAAAAGGCAACAAGTCAAAATTAGACTTGGTCTTCATCGCGATTTGAATGTGACGTAAGGGATGACGGCACACAGACCCTGGGTGGTTGGAGTTTCATACTCAAAAGCGGGGAGACCCAGTCCAACTGAGAGTGAGAGATGGGTAAGCTCGGGTGTGATGCCCATGGCGATCTCAACGTCACCGAATTCAGCAAACCCTTGCCTTCCATAGGTATCTATGTTGCCTCTGCTTCATTCCTCTGCGCCCTTTCCATGGCCGCCGATCTTCTCCACGGCTTCCGCCACCGCAAATTCTGGTTCCCTTGCAACTTCTTCTCTCTCAACGCCACTTCCCTTACCTTAATCGCTGTTGGGATCAAACTCTCTCTCGATTTAAACACCTCGATGCCGAGTCGCCAAGATCAGCTTTCCAAACTCAGCAGCAGCGTCTTCGCCTGCATCGTCATGGCCAACTCCATGCCCTCTCTCGGCATCATGGAGACCAAAGATCTCCTCGCCAACGTCGTCGCCCTTGGAATCCTTATCATCACCCTTGTTGTCAATATCTGCATCCAGTTGGGGACAGGGGCCATCTACGTTTTCTGGAAAGAACATCTCTTCACCCTTTTTCTCATGCTTCTTATGCTCCTCATTCTGTGTTTCTCCGCTCTCACTGTTCCCACCACCAAGAACCTGTTAGAGCTCAAGTACAAGAAGAAGTATGAGATTGCCGTCAAGGAGTGTCCTGTGGAAACAGAGACAACAAGGGTCATGAAACTCAAACAAGACCTGATGAAATTTTGGATGATGGCCCATACCTGCAGCCCCCAGTTCGTGATGGCCCGTTCCGTCACATGCACCGCCTCCGGTTTCCTCTGCCTCCTAAGTGCCCTCACCCTCGGCGAAGCCATGGTTCAGTCTTACTTGAGACCCGGATCCCTAGGTTTCTGCAATGGAGATTCTGATTACAAGTGGTCAACCACCCTGGCCCTCGTCTCACAGACCACCGCAGTGGCAATAGGGTCCATTGCTCCAGCGACCAGATGGTTCACGGCTGTAAACTTCAGGTGTCCAATAAGAGGCAACAAGTACTACGGAGAAGAGTTCAGGGTGGAGAGTTACTGGACACAGTGCATGGCAGAGGGCAAAGAACGTCCCTTGAGAGCTTGGATCTTCGGAGGTCGTCGGTGGAGGAAGTCAGTACATGATGCAAAACGGCGAGTACTGGATGGTTGTATTGTCATACAGTATGGATTAGTGTTAGCAAGCAAAGTTATCCGTTTTGCCTCCGTGTACTGTGTGAGCCGGATCTTGATATGCTTCTACTTCAGCATCCGTAGACGGAGTAGCGATGAAAAGGAATCAGGAAGCACGAAATTGGATCTCGCCCGTTTTGTTCTGCATCTCGAGGGTGAGTCCGAGCTGGTGGAGCTGATGGTACGGAGCAACTGTGAGGCCACAGACCACTGGATACAGAATGGAAGGAAAAATCAGCCGAGGCATCTCATCGAGTTTCTTGAAGCTTCAAGATCAGGAGGATTTGAAGGGATTTTAGACTTTGACAGCTACGAGGTCCCTTCTCTGGCATCTGAAGAACCACCCAATTGCTGGGCTCTCCCTCTGGTAACACTTACAAGCATCGCTGTTGCACTTCCAAACATCAAAGCTTGCGCTCTTAAGAAGCTACTGAAAGCAGTCGACGAGGCACTTGTCTATGTCAACAAGTTTGAACACGTCTTGGACATGAGGGGAGACTTAGCCAACGCCAGGAAGGCTGCTGAGGTTGTTTGGTTAGGTGTCGATCTCTATCAAAAGTGGCTTGATGTGGATCTGAGAAAGCTGTCGTCCAAGCAAGAAAGAACTTCTGAGGAAACCCTCGAGGAGCTCGTTGATATCGCAAAGAAGAAATTTTCAGAGTCGTGGCAGGCGAACCTGATGGTGTGCATCAAACAGAAGGCGTCGCATTGGCCCATGAAAATACTGGCGGCCAACTCCATGTACAGAATCTGCCAAACTATGCTCGAAAACAACAGAAGAGGCGAGGACTTGTTCAAAGAGATGGAGAGGATGATCTCAGACATAGTTTCTGGTTGCTTAGCCAACACGCCGCTGGTTATATCGATGAAGTGCTTGGTGACGGCGGTAGAGGTGAGGGAAGAGTCGGTTGGGAAAGCAGCTTTGCATCTGGGAAGGACAGAGAAGATACTGGAGATCATAGAGAAGAGACGCATCCCTGAGTTGAGCCCCGACCAGATGGGGAAAATTGATGAATGGAGGACATTCTTCAGGTTTCACCTCAGCGTCTGACTAAAGCCCAATAAGCTCATGATGATTTTGGCCCGAATCAGAAAGCCCATGCGACTCAAATACGGTCTTACTTCCTTCACAAGCAATACATACTCTTGTTGTGTATATTGAATGTCTGCTCTTTTTCTTTCCCATTGTTTTGTTTCACACCTTAAACTAGCGTGCGTACCACCATATGATATGCGTGTGTGATAATACTGTCACATAGCAGTAACTGCAACGTTTTTATTTTTATTTTGGGTTGAATATAGGAGGAGAGGTTCCCAACTGGAAAACAGTGGGTGCCCAAAACCACAACGTTTTCATGATTAAGTCCGCTAGTCATTCGATTATTCATTTAAAAACATAAAATAAATAATTAGGGTATTATATGAAGTTTTAAGAGAAGAGAGAAATTGTCTGGAAGAAAGGGACAAACTTTGAAAGTGGGAGCCAAACGTGACACCCGCTTCTTCTCCTCCCTATATATACATTCCCCTCCTCAGATTGCTCATCACAGCCCTTTCCAAATTCTAAAGCATTCGGTCCGACTAGAGATGCAGAAGAGCGAGTCGGCATCCTCGCTGGGCCCTGGAGGGCTGGACCTTAGCCGGGCCCTCTTCAAGCCCATCCAGAACTCCGAGCCACCCACACCGTCCAAGCGCGGCACCAAGGTCTCCGTCGTCGGCGTCGGCAATGTCGGCATGGCCATCGCTCAGACCATCCTCACACAGGATCTCGCTGACGATATCGCCCTCGTCGACGCCAACCCCGATAAGCTCCGCGGCGAGATGCTAGATCTCCAGCACGCCGCAGCCTTCCTCCCCCGCACCAAGATCTCGGCCTCCGTGGACTACAACATCACCGCCGGATCCGACCTGTGCATCGTAACCGCCGGCGCTCGACAGAATCCAAGCGAGTC